TTTTCAGAAATATCTTTTCTAGTTGCAGCTGCAATATTTTCCCCAATAAAAAAAAAAGCCACTCCCTCACTTCTTTTGCCTCCCTTTCTTTCCTTCCTACAGCTTCTGAAACCCGAAACATTAGTACGGGCAAAATATCTTGCATGGCGTATAATGTCGGAAAATCTGAAATCATTCACTTTAGCAGGAAGCAGAAACAAGAGCAGTATATTCCTTAAATGGTGAATGACTGCTGAATTCTGAGATGTGGAGGATAAAGTATGAGTTACAAAGTTAGTATGCAGATGTAGCATGTAACCATGGTGTCATACAGCATGAAGACAGACCTAATGGTCCAACTATTCCATCCTGACCATATTCCCAAACTAAACTAGTCCCATCTTCCTGCATTTGCCCCACATCACTCCAAACCTTTCGAATTTGTGTACTTATCTAAATCTCTTTTAAACATTGTAACTGTAACTGTACCTGCACCTACCATTTTATCTGGCAGTTCATTCCACACACTGGGCACACTCGATGTAAAAAGAAAAGAAAAGTTAACCCTCATGTCATTTTTTAAATCTTTCTTCTCTCACCGTAAAAAATATGCCCCCTAGTTTTGAACTCATCCATCTGAGGGATAAGACCTTTGCTATTCACCTTATCTAAGCCTCTCGTGCTTTTATAAACCTCTTTCAGGTTACGCCTCAACCTCCTATTTTCCGGTGAATGAAGTCCCAGCCTATCCAGCCTATTTTTACAACTCGAGGCCTTCTTACCCAGTAATATCCTGTTTTTTTTTTCTGAACCCACTCCAGTTTAATAATATCCTTCCAATGACGGGACTACCAGAATGGCACACAGTATTCCAGGAGAGTCCTCACCAGCATCCTTTACAACCTCCAACATGACGTCCTAACTCCCGTACTCCAAGACCTGAGCAATGAAGACAAGTGTGCTGAATGCCTTCTTAACCACCCTGTCCACCTGTGAAACAAATTTCAAAGAATAATGTACCTGAAAGCCTAGGTTCTCTGTTCTGTGATAGTACCCAGGGCCCTACTATTAATTGTACATGTCCTGCCCATGTGAAGTATTCCATTTTGGATAAAACAAACATTTAT